AGCCTTTGCAATCTGTCTGTGCAGTTTCTCCATCAAGAGATAGATCTGTTTCCCCATCCCTTGCATCTGCATTAGCCATATGACTTACTTTAATCAATAGAATGTGGCAAAAACATTGTATCAGTTCTAAACCTGTGAGTCAAGTGGCCATGCACACTTCTGTCTCTTGTAGAAGCCTGCTGCTGCCATAAGAACAAACCCGCGCTAGCCTGCTGGAGGATGAGGGACAGGTGACCCAGTTCCTCCCATCATCCCAACCAACAGCCAGCCAATCCCAGATAAAGAGCAGCCCTGCTGCCCTGCAGCTGACCACAGACACATTAGGGAACCCAGCCCAGATTGGCACAAACCTCAGCTGAGCCACAGATTCATGAGCTATGCTTACCATTTTACACCACTACAATTGAGGGCTGCTTTGTTACACAGCAGTAGCTAACTGACACATCATATGACATAACATTCAAGTCAGAATAGTTCTGAGAATTAAAAAAAAGGGCACTATTAATTTCACCTGACCATCCCAGGCAAATGAAAAGGTAAATTCAATTTCCCTTTAATGGCACTGTTTGATCTATTTCATTCCTTTCACTCAAGCTTAATTGCAAGCCAGGGACCTGCTTTCCACAACACTCCCACTAACCTTAGGTCAGTTCCAAGAATATATCAAGCTCTTTTCAATCTCAAGGACTTTGCACAGGCCATTCCCTCTGCCTGGAATACTCTTATACCCACTGATGGATGCTTTCTTCTCATTCTTTAGGTCTCAGAACTTCATTATCAATAACTACCCACTTGCCTCCCACCCCCAGCTACAAACTATCCTGGTTTTTTATTTGTTTTGTACTTATTACAATCTGAAATCAATTTGTAGGTTTATTGACATATTTGTTCATTGTCTGAGTTCTCCCATGAGACTATGAGCCCTGTTCGGGCTGGAACTCTGTCTTGTTCTTCTCTGTATCCCCAGTGTTTAGCAGATTTCCAGGCACATGGTAGGTGCTTTTTACATATATTTTTAAAATAAATGAATATAGCAAAAATTCAGCCTGTTAAACATCAACTGCATAATGGGTAGTTTCCTGGCTCGTTAGAATCAGAAATAGGGTTCTGAGTAGCCAGGCAGAACTGGATTCAAATTTGTCCTCTAGCACTTTGTAGTTTTGAAATCATGGGCACCTTACTCAAATTCTCTGAGTCTCATTGTCTTCATTGGTAAAACTGAGTTGTAGATAAGAAGTGATGCATGTAAAATGCCCAGCACAGGGACTAGCATATAGCAGGTACTTAGAAATCAGTAGCCATAATTGTTTTCACTATAGTTGGGTCAAAAAAAACAATAAAACAAAAAAAAAACCCTCTTGAGTTCATTCCAGTAGGTCATTAGGTTTATCTCTCTTCTTTACGGGAGAGGCCATTCTTTGACTTTTGACCTTGAGACATGGACAGATTTGTATTCTTCCTTATCTTAAACAAGAGCCTACAAAATGCAAGTCAGAAAGAGGCAGAGGGTTAACTCCAAGGATGAGGAAGGGATGGGCATCCTGAGAGAAGACCTGGAAGCAGATTCTGAGCATATACACCTTAGATCCATGTGTTGCAGTCCATAAACAGAACTGATGTGTGGAGTTAAAGTTCAAGGGCATTGGTATCTGAGCCCTAAATTCAATAAACACTTATTTTTCTAGGTCCCATTATTTGTTGTTGATCAAATTTCATTTTGGGAACTGCAAAACATCCCCAGGCCTCAATTACCCCAGCCCTGCTGAAATGTGAAATCTATTCTCCCTTCTTCCAATGGTAACAGCCTCCATGAATTTAGTGGGACACATGAACACCCAGGATAAGGACTACATTTCCCAGACTCCCTTGCAGCTAGTTATGTCCATGTGACCACATTGGGTCCTGCTGGACGTAAGTTAAGCCGTTTTATTGTAGCTTCTACAAATCTTTTTAAAATGACAACTAGCACATACTACTTTTCTCTCTGCCTTTCTTCATTTTGCTGCCCTGTGAACTTGGACATGTTACCTCAGGTCTTCATGCCTCAGTTACTTTATACATAATACTAGGAACATAACCTACTTCAAAGAGTTTTGGTAAAGATTAAAAGATTGTTGATGATAAATACAAGGTGTATGTAATGAGATAACAAATTTGAAATGCATACTTTGTTGCCCGGTTTATAGTAGATATTAAACAAATACTTTTGTTACTGTCCATGTGAACTTAAAATTTAAGTCACATGAATCCTCTGAGCTTCAGAGGTTTTCTCCATTATAAAATGAGAATGGTCTTCTTATACCAGATTTAAATCTAAATTATCCAAACATCTAAATGTAAAAATGTAAAAATAACAACAAAACCATATAAACATTAGAAGAAAGCATGAATAGATTCCTGTATGACTAAAGTATGGGAAGAACCTTTCTACTTATGATTCAAACATAATGTATTAAAAAGACTGATAAATCTGAATGCATAACCATTTTGTAACAAACATCTAAAGAGAATATTTGTAATCTATGTCACAGATAAGTAGTTGATGTCTTTAATATATAAAGAGTTCTTAAAAATCAAGAATAAAGACCAAAAACTCAGTTTTTAAAAAATAAGCAAAAAACATGATTAGATGGTTCACAGAAAGAGGTGTGTAAATGGACCTCAAAATGTGAAAAGATGTTCAACTCCATGCGCAAGAGAAATGCAAATTAAAGCTACCCAAACATAGTATTTCTTACCTCTTAGATTGACAAAAGGTGAAAACTTGACCACATACACTGTTGGAACATGGCAACAATGTAGGGAAACAGATTATCTCATACACCGCTGGTGGAAATGCAAATGGGGTATTTGAAAATATCTAACAATATCACATATGCATTTACCTTTTAGCCCTTAAATCCTACATTTTGGAATTTACCTAAAAATATACCTCTGCAAGCCCAGAACAACAAATGCGTGTGGTTATTCATTATAATATTATTTGTAGTAGCAAAATATTAGAAACAACCTAACTGCCTACTCATAGGAGACCAGTTGAACGAACTATGAATCTTCCAGATAATGAAGTACCAAGCAGCTACAAAAAAAAAAAAAAAAAAAAAAAAAAAAAAAAAAAAAAAAAAAAAAAATGAGGGTAACTGTTACAAACGAAAATGATTTCTAAATCTTTTTTTGCTTTAAATGAAAAAGTAAAGTGCAAGTGAGTACCTATGGTACGTTCTCTTTCATCTAAAAAATATGGAAAGCTAAAAATATGTGAGTCATAGAAGTAAAAACTGGCAGGATTCACTTATGGATAGAAGTGACTATAGACAGTAATTGGGGGCCAGGCACGGTGGCTCACGCCTGTAATCCCAGCACTTTGGGAGGCCGAGGCAGGTGAATCACGAGATCAGGAGATCGAAACCATCCTGGCTAACACGGTGAAACTCTGTCTCTACTGAAAATACAAAAAAATTATCCAGGTGTGGTGGCGGGTGCCTGTAGTCCCAGCTACTCGGGAGGCTGCAGCAGGAGAATGGCATGAACCCAGGAGGCGGAGCTTGCAGTGAGCCAAGATCACGCCACCGCACTCCAGCCTGGGAGACAGAGCAAGACTGCATCTCAAAAAATAATAATAATAATAGAAAGAAAAAAGTTAAAAAAGAAGGTAATTGGGAACAGGGTGACAGCATGGAGGTAAGAATGAGACTGCTCTTGGGACTTCTTCATCTGCAATTTATACTCTTGAATTATATAAATATTTTACAGATTCAAAGATGAAATTTAATCAAAGATGTTAAAAAATACATCAAACCCTAAAATTGAATGTACATAGAAACAAACAAGCCTAACTACATATCACAGTGATAACTCTGCTAGGCAGGCTTCTAAAGTGTCCCCCAGTGACGCCCACTTTCCGGTATTACCACCTTTTGTATAATCCTTTTCCCTTGAACATTGGCTGGACCTGGTGACTCACTTCTAATGAATGAAATATGGAAAAAGTGATGAGAAAAAGTTACTCCTGTCAATTAGGTTCCAAAGCGCTGTGGCTTCTATCTTGTTGGTATTCTGCCTCCCTGGTGCTTCTCATGTGCTAAGCTTGATAGACAAGGTGACCTGGCAAGGAACTGAAGGACATCTGGCAAAGTACTGAGTGAGGAACTGAGGCCCACAGTCCAGCAGCCCCCAAGGAATCAAATCCCACAACAGCCTTGTGAGTGAGCATGGAAGTAGATCTCCCCCGGTCAAGCCCCCAGAAGGACCCAGCCCTGCTGACAGCTTGGTCGAAGCCTGTGAGAGCTCCTGAACTGGAGGACCCAGGTAAGCCACACCTGGATCCAGAGATACTGTGAGACAATAAACGTTATGACTTTAAGCCACTAAGTTCTGGGGTAGTTTGTTAAGCAACAATTAATAATAATACAAATGTAACCATGTAGGAAGGGAATCAGCTCAAGTAACCTTTGAACACAGTTCTATAACTGTGCTGTCAATTCAATACACTCTAAGGACAAGAACTACAAAGAAATCTTGAACTTGAACGAATAGATTGTTGTTGATAGTAGGATCAGTATAATTCTGAAACTATTGAGCAAATATGTTGATATTGGAGGAAATGGGGTTCTCACAGTGAAATCAGAGAGATATGACATGGAATGAGGGAATTGTGAGAAAGAACTCTGTGATGTTGGATTTAATTTGGAGGCATCAGAATGAACTCAAGTGTTTCTTCTATTTACTGAAAGAAACTAGAAATAGCAATACCTTTACAGCAATAAGCACACTTAGAACACGTATTTTGGCTTTTGTTTTATTTTATTTTATTTGTTTTTGAGATAGGGTCTCACTGTGTCACCCAGGCTGGAGTGCAATGGCATGATCTTGGCCCACTGCAGCCTTGACCTCCTGGGCTCAAGTGATCCTCCCACCTCAACCTCCTGAGTAGCTGTGACTACAAGTATGCACCACCATGGCTGCCTAATTTTTGTATTTTCCTTGATGGAGATGTGGTTTTGTCATTTTGCCCAGGCTGATCTGGAACTCCTGGGCTCAAGTGATTCTCCTGCCTTGATATTATGGCTTTTAAACACCATTCTCCACTGAAACGGATAGGGTCATCTTGGAGAAGTGGATGATTTAAGCATTTGAACAAGGAAAATAGAAGATGAGTCTGGAACATTTTATTGTGTCAGAAAGTTAGGAAGTTCTCAAAGAATGAAGGAGGCACATGCACGAGGATGCAGGGGCCAGTTTGCAGGGGTCCACCTGGCTAAACCTGGGACAACTGGAGCATTAAAAAAATGCTCATGCATTATATATAAAATAACAGAAGAGCAGTGGGAAACCCTTCTTTATCGAAGAATGTTAACAGTGTAAAAATATACATAAATTTTAAAAACTCCGTGTTGCAGCCATCCCTGCAATATTTGATTCTGGCAAGGATCATTAATGGATTCTAAAACTACTGGTCAAAAGTTTATGAGAGAAAGGGGTGTTTACATACTCCCAAAGTACTATCCTGTGGATTATATTATTTACACAGGGAAATGGGTGCTTTAACAACAGAAACATCTGGTGGATCCCACCTTAACCAGCTGACCAAATACTCACCAAATACTCAAATACTCCAGTAACGGGACCGAGTGACATCGTATGTCCCCTGAAGAGATGCAATGGAAAACACATACTTTTGTGATGTGACTGCCCAAAAGGTTTACCGTGAATTGGATGGTGAGGACATCACTGGACGAACCCAGATTGTGAGACATTCAAAACACAGTTGGTCCAGACTTTTCAAAAATGTCAATATAATTAAAAAGGAAGGAAAAAAGGTGAGGGGCTGTTCTAGAGCAAAGGACAGGAAAGAGGTGTGAAAACCAATCACGAAAACATGTGATCCTGGCTTGGATCTTCACATAGACTGATGGAGGCAGACGTCCTCCTTGTCAGTGGGCACAACCTCCCCTCCTGGATGCCTTGATTCCAGCCCGAAACTCAGGGCCATCCTCCCCACCCCGTATCTATGGCATTTTGAGGGTATGGAGGAGGGAATTGTCAAGCTATTTGCTAAACTTTCTCTGGACGTTCCCTCCCTCTCCCTGACCACCCCGCCCCACTTCCTGGCAAGCATTCCGGCTGTGATTTCATCTGGAATTACTGGAATCACACTGTCTCCTGTCAGCTTTCTCTCCCTCCCCCGGCCCTCCTGCTGATAGGAGACAGGAGCGATGGATGGTCTGAGTTAGCAGGGTCCCGGCACCACCCAGTGCAAAGGCACTGCACTCACGCACGCCATACACATGCTGGCTCACCTCCTCCATCCCGTGCCTCCCCTGTCTTCAGGTCTCTGTCTCTTACTTTATTTTTCTCTCCTCCTCCTTGCGTCTGCCTGCCTAAAGATTTCCGATGCTTAATCCTCCTCTATCTCCTTTGCTGTCTTTCTCTGTCATTGTATCTCTTGGCATCTCAGTTCCACGTCTTCTGTTTCTCTCTCTTTCTCCACCTATTTTCCCTTCGGAGGCATTTGCACCCCAATGTCTCTGTATGTTCCTTGCAGCATTCCCTCTGGAATACATCAGCACTGTTGCCTTTGGGGCTGGCCTGCCTGGGTGCACACTTGAGCTCCAATTCACAGGTAGGTGTGTGACCTTTCTTAACTTACCTGAGCCTAAGCGTCCTCCTTTTTGTGGTGGGAATAACAATAGCACCTCTCCCATGAAGTTCTGGAGGCAGTCGAAAAATTGGCACAGGCAAGAACTCCATAAAATCTCCAGTGGGCTAGAATCCACACTGCATACATACACATGCCCTCCTCCTGCCTTTCTCCAACCAGGTCTTCTTTGATCCCTGCTTTCTTTACACACTGTAGCCTCATCCACACCTTCTTGTTTCCAAACACAACAAGCTCACTCCTACCTGTAGGCCTTTGTCCTTGCAGATCTTCTCCTTGGGGGGCACTTTCCAAAGCATTCGACAGCATCCACTTGTCACGTCATTCTGGCCTTCTGGCACTCTTTGTGGTGGTTTTAAAACATGTCCTTACATTCTTTGACACTCCTCCCTTCAAAAGACAATGATTCATTCCCCTCTCCTTGAGTGTGGGCTGGACTTTTTGACTTGCTCTTGGAGAATAGAATGTGGTGGAGAAGGATGGTGTGTGACCTCTGAGATAAGGTCTTAAGTGAAATTTCAGCTTCCCCCAGCAATTTCTTGGATCACTCACAGTGGAGGAAGCCAGATGCCATGTCATGGGGGTGCTCAAGCAGCTTTCTGGAGATGTATGTATGGAGAGAAACTGAGGCCTCCTGCCAACAGCCGGCACTAACTTGCCAAGCATGTGTGTGAGCCACCTGGGTAGTGGAGCCTTCAGCCCCAGTTGCGCTTTCAGATGAGACTGCAGTCCTGGCCACCATCTGGACTGCAACTTCACAAGCGATCCTAAGCAAGAGCCATGCAGATGGATTTTTGGCCCCCAGAAATTGTGCCACTACATTTTGGGTAATTTATTATGCAGCCATAGATAATCAGTACACTCACTACTCCTTCTTTCTGATGCCATACTATATTTTTGTTTGCTGATTTTTTTCCTCTGTCTCTGCCACTAGGCATTAAGTTCCATAAGGGCAGTGGCTGTGTCTGTGTAGTTCATCTGTGTGTCTCCACAGCCTGGCATATGGAGCTCACTAAGTAACTCAGGCATGGGTAAATGGAAATCAGTCATTTCAGGCTCAGCCTAATAAATCTCCCTCCTATGGATCTCTCTAGAGAGAGCAGTAAAGTTTTCCCAACTTCTTTTTCTGTCTTTCTGTATTTGATTTCTTGCACTTTCTGTGGCTTTCTGCTTAGTTTTATTCCTGGCTGCCTGACAGAGGGTGGGTTTATGCAGCTAAAGAGGCACCTGTGGGAGGAAGGGCTCTGTGTGCTTTCTCCTTTAATAAGCTGTGTCCAAAAAAATAAAAAATAAATAAGTAACTCCCCTTTGCAAAAGGGATGAAAATAGCCAGGATTTTAATGGAGATGGGAGGTGGGTACTGTGAGGCTGAAGCTGAGGCAGCTCTATTGTCTCTGAGCAACCCCAGTCTGATCACTTATCCACACATAAATTATACTCACTTATTCATTTATCTATCCTTCCATTGAGTCAATTGTTAATTAATTCACTATTTATTATTTGCTTATCTATTTATATCTACATTAATTTATCTATCCTATATTTTATACTTACTAATTAATCCATTTATCCATCCATGCACTCAACTATTCATCCATCCATCCACTCTCCATCTATCCACCCATCCATACACTTATCCATCGTTCATCCATTCACCCACCATCCACCCATCTTTCCATTCATCCACCCATTCTTTCATGCACCCGTCTGTCCATCCACCAACCCATCCATCTACCCATCTATCCACGTATCCACCATCCATCCATTCACCCATTCATCCACCATCCATTCGTCATCCATCTATCCATCCATCCATCCATGCATCCTTCCATCCACCCATCCATTTATCCACTCATCTATCCACTTATCCATCATCCATTCATTCACCCATTCATCCACCTATCCTTCCATCCACCCATCTATCCATTTATCCATCATCCATTCACCCATCCTGCATTCATCCATTATCCATTGATATACTTTTCATTTAATCCACACATAAGGGCATTAATCCTAATGCCCTTATGTTAATTAATGAATCTATTCACTTAACAGTGTGTCTATTTATTATAATTTTTAATTCATGAATTCACTAATCTTCAATTCTATTCATACCCCTGAGTATTTACAAGTGCTACCACTTTGTGCCAAGTGCTATGCTAGCCTCTGGAGTTAGGAGGTGAAGGTGACAGACCTGCGACAGACCTGGTTCCTACCTGTGTGCAGTTCACCCCACTATTTTCTGGATTTCAGGGGAGGAGCTGTTCATGGGAGACCCTGAAGTGAGCACAAAATTTCTGCTCTCTAGAGACTCATGATGTGACAGGGCTGGATCATGACACCTGGTGCTGCTTCTACCACTGGAATCCTTAACTTCTGGATCGGCCTCAGTTTTCTCTTCTGGAAAATGGGGACAATGTTGCTAAAATCACCTTTTTTTTTTTTTTTTTTTTTTTTTTGACAGTCTTACTCTGTCGCCAGGCAGGAGTGCAGTGGCAGGATCTCGGCTCACTGCAATCTCTGCCTCCAGGGTTCAAGCCATTCTCTTGCCTCAGTCTCCCAAGTAGCTGGGACTACAGGCACACGCCGCCACACTCAGCTAATTTTTGTATTTTTAGTTAGAGATGGGGTTTCACCATGTTGCCCAGGATGGTCTCGACTTCCTGACCTCATGATCGGCCCACCTTGACCTCCCAAAGTGCTAGGATTACAGGCCACTGAGTCCAGCTGATAAAACCATCTTGAATGACTTCCATGTGAACACAGTGATGCAGTGGCTTTATAAACTCTAGAATGGGCTACAATTATGTATATGTGTGTGTGTGTGTGTGCGCGCATACGTACAAGGTATCTTTTGAGTTTCCTATCAGCCAGGCATCGCTTTCCTATCAGCCAGGCATCACACCACTGGGGAACCAGCAACTTTGCTACCTGGGGTCATCTCTGGCATCTTGCTGGTATACCAGAGAGCACCTGGCAGCCATGAACAGACCAAGTGGGCTCTGGAGGGTTGAAGGTGCTTATTATGAATCCAGGGGGTCTTAGGGAGCTAGCAGTCTTTCCTCCTCAAGAAGGAGATAATTATTGCTTAACTTTCATGTGGGGAATGCAGTGAATGAGACATTCTTAAACACCTCCCTCCGCATTCCCAGAACCTCCAATTCCCAAGGTTAAATGCATCTTCAAAGTTTATTAACCAAGAACTACTGTGGCTCAGGTGATCCTGGAATAATACAGACCTGCCTTTTAATTTCCACTGAGCTCCTTGTATGCTTTGTGATCCCAGGGAGATTGTTTCACTTCTCTGAGCCTCCATTTCCTCACCTATAAAGTGGAGCTTAGAAATACTTCCAAGGCTGTCGTTGGGAACATCACATGGGCAGTGTGGGTGCCTAGTAAGGGTTGGCTGTTGTCATTCAAGAAGGATAGTGTGAGCCTGCACATGAGTCAGCAGGGGAGAGAAGGCAGGATTCTGCCCAGAACAAGCCAAGGAAAATCAGATGCAGTTTTCAATTATTGAGTCACCGTCTTTCGTGGTTTGGAAGGAGATAGAGGATTCCTCCTCCCAACCAATACCTTTACGATGTTCTTTCCACACAGCTCTGTGGTTTACAAGGCAGGCTCTGCACTTCATCCTGTTGAATCTTCAACCTGTATGTCGTGTGAGTGGGGTCCCTTCACCCCCTTTTTCATCAGAGCATTAGAACAGGCGGAGTTCTTAGAGCTGGTCTAGTCCAGAGATCACGGACTGGGGGCCTGCAGGCTGGTGACTCTCTTCTGGTCTCAACCAGATCAGGAAAGCAGAAACTCAGTGAAGCTACGTGGAGGGGCTAGTGTTGGCTCCTCTGGGTGGAGCCCAAGAAGCTTGGTGGGCACTCGAGATCCCTCAGGAACAGCCCCACTCCCCTGTTCCATTCCTTCCTCATTTTGTTCTTCATTCTCAAGTCATCCTGAACTCTGTGCAAGTCCCAGAATGACCCTGGCTGTCTTTGGCCTTTGCAAAAATTGTTTCTTATTCCTAAAATTCCCTTCCACTCGCTTTTTGCCCAGATCCCTACTCATCCCTTTTTATCCAGATCCCTTTTTATCCAGGTTCCTATTCATCTTTCAGGTCTCAAGCCCAGTTCATGTTCCAGGAAGGCCTTCCCTGTCTGGGTCGGGGGGGGCCCTCCTTTGTGTTCCTAGAGACCTCTGGACTCCCCCTACCACTAATAAGTCTGTCTTGAGGTTGTCTGTGTCTATTTGGATGTTTGCTTCTCCCCTTGGATGAGAAGGTCATTGGAGACTTGGTGTGGGCACCATTCACTCCATGTCCTTAGGTCACAGGGTAATGACACCATAGAGAGATGCTCAGAGGCATCTTTGGATGAATGAGGAAGGAAGGAAGGTAGGTAGGAAGAAAGGAAGGAAGGAAAGAAAAAGAAGGAAAGAAAGAAAGAAAGAGAGAGAGAGAGAAAGAAAGAAAAGAAAGAAAGAAAGAAAGAAACAAAGAAAAGAAAGAAAGAAAAAGAAAGGAGGGAGGGAGGAGGAGAGGGAGGGAAGGAAGGAAGGAAGGAAGGAAGGAAGGAAGGAAGGAAGGAGAGGAAGGAAGGGGGAAGGAAGGAAGGAGGGAGGGAGGGAGGGAGGGAGGGAGGGAGGGAGGGAGGGAGGGAGGGAAGGAAGGAAGGAAGGAAGGAAGGAAGGAAGGAAGGAAGGAAGGAAGGAAGGAAGGGAAAGAAAGAAAGAATTTTGGCGTAAAAACTTGGGTCTCATTCTTTCCCACCAGTGTGCTTTTTATGATATTATCTGGATGAGGCTCAGAGAAGTTAGGCAACTTTCCTGAGGTTCCCCAGCAGGAAAGAAGCAGAGTCCAGGTTTGGTGCCATTTATGTTGTCCAATAAAGACAACATTTGGCAGTGAAGAGGGCGCTGGATTTGGGGTCCAGAGACCTGGCTTGAAGCTTGGAGAAACGCTGTTGGGCTCTCTGGGCCTCAATCTCTGCATCTGTAAAGTGGGGCTGCATCCAGATGCCATAGTGAGTGTCTATGTCTCCGGGCATGCTCAGGGACACCTTCACAGGGAAAAGAAGCTCACACAAGTGAAAGGGAAAACATTCCAGGCTGAGAAAGGAGAGCTGGACCCATACAGCTGGAGGAACGGGAGGGAAGTCAGGCTGGAGCAGCAGCAGCAGGAAATGGAGGCTGAGGCTGGGGCTAGGAAGAGCAGCCCGAGAGGCCCTTCATTTCCAGGTGGGCCCAGTTCCCGTCCTTGACCTTGGTTGTTCACCTCGAGATGTTTTCAGAGGAGAGATACCCAATCCACCTCTCTGGATCTGAAAGTGCAATTTTATCCCTCCGGATTTGCGTAGAAAAGGTCTGGCCCCGCCCCATCTCGTTTTCTCAGCCAGGTCTCAGCGCTCAGTTCACACAAGGCGAAATATTTGGACATCAGCAAAGCATTAAGTAATTGGTGGATTTTTTTTTTCCTTTTCCATTTGCATTTGTTTGTTTCCTGCTGGGTTGCCTGACACCAGCCAGCCTTGAATTTGGTCCTGTTCTCTGCACAGCTGGACTCAGGGAGCCCAACCCAGAGTGTGCATAGAACAGGTGGCCTGCCTGGGAGCCAGAGAGATGGTGTTGGGTACATAGACAGCAGCGGGTGCTGGATCGTCCCTGGGATCTTGAGGGGAAAGCGAGAAAATGGGAGCAGGCCCCCCAAAACACCAGCAGACTGCACTCCCATCATGACCTAATGAGATAGTGCAGTTGACCTATAGCAACAGCCAACACAGCAAAATGAATGAACCCAGGGGCTACAGACCAGGGGGCGCAGACCTAAAAGACCTGGGTAGTGTCTGGCTCTTTGAGCCTTGGGCAAGCCTTTGCAGCATCTAGTATCTGCTTCTTCATCGTTTGTTTCATGAGTTGTTATAAAGGTTGCCAGATTTAGCAAATAAAAACACAGGACGCTCAGTTAGATGTCAATGCCAGATAAACAATGAATTACATTTGTTAGTATAAGTATAGCTTGTGCAATATTTGGGACACAGTTATCCCAGGAATTTTTCTTTGTTCCTCTGAAATTCAATTTTAATGGGGCATTCTATATTTGATCTGGCAACCCTCAATGTTGTAACAATAAAGTGAAATGGTGTGTACACATCCTTCATGGTGTGCTTCACCCCAGGGAAAGTGATCAGAGCCCAGTCACCATTTCTATTAGTGTCATACCAGGAATACTAGATATTAAGTGCTAATACTAATTTGTTAATATCAATTGCTATAGTATTAATAATTATTCATGTAGTTAATTAATATTAATCAGCACAAATATTAAAACTCATCATTTACTGAGTAGCTACTATGCTCCAGGCATGTCCTTCACATTACTTCATTGTCACCACATCACTCACTGTGGGAATGTCATTGTCCCCGTTTTATTGCTGAAAGTCTCAGGACTCCACAAGATTAAACGTTGGTTACAGCTGTGAGACCTGGGTTGCTGATAGAGGAACACTGTTCTGAGTGCCTTGCAAGAGTTGCCTCCTTAAATGATTTCATCAACTCTGTGAGCAGATAGAATAGATACTATTGCTAAACTATTACTACGATCTCTGTTTTGCAAATGGAGAAACTGAAGACTAAGACTTGCCCAAGGTCACACAGGCTCATCAATGTCTGAATGAGGCTTCAAACCCAGGCAGTAGGCTGTCTGGCTCCATCCCTCCTCTAAGCTGCTTTATCAGCCACATAAGTAGATAGAATGAGGGCAACTGTGGAGTGTGTCCCTAGAGGGTAGAGCACAGGGCTACCAGGCTGTGGCAAGCAGCACACACAGGCCCATCACCAGCCGTATCGCATTTAACCCTCTCAGCAGCCCCCTGTAAACAAAGACATCATTATTCCTATTTCTGATGGGAGCTGAGACTTCCCTGGCTGTTTGCAGTGAGTTGGTGTCAGGATAAATGTTTACAGAGTTCCAAAGCTGAGCACTGGAGCAACTCGGAGGGTCAAGATAGGGTTCAGCCAGTGGAGTCCAGGTACCCTCTTCTGCCTCCAACAGAGAAGCTCTGACACTTCCTGGCTGTGTGACCCTGGGCAAGGTGCTCCACCTCTCTGATCTTGCATCTCCTTGCCTGTAAAAAGAGGGTGAAAAAAATACCTTCCTCTAGAAAGAACTGTTGTAATCTTCAAATGACTCAATCCATAAAAAGCACTTAGCATAGTGCCTCCTAACACATAGAAACTGCAAAGTAAATGTGAGTAGTTACGGTCACTTTTAAGCATCTGTCTTTGGGCTCTCTCAGTAGCAGAGCTTGAGATAGAGACTTCAGAGCAGGTGGTTCCTTTGGGAGGTGAACTCAGGATGCCCCAGTAGAGGAATAGCCAGGGACACAGGAAAAGAAGAGACCAACACAGAGTGTGTGAATGAGCAGGTGACTGCTGCCAGCACTTGGAGCACAGTCCTA